CTTAATTTATTGAAACTGTTACATACAGATTGTGTCGAGGGTACGCACTTTAGTGCTCTCGTTCATTCATTCTGTACAACTGAAATTTGTTTTTAATAAACAATAACTTTAGCACAGCATGTTTCAAGCTCCTAGATCTTTCTTTTTGGCGTGGAAAAGTCTTTCTTAACTGTTTTGTGTTGCTCAAATACAAGTGCTAGGTACAGAAGCTTCAAAGTAAGAAAATCGAGCAGTTGGGCCAAGTTCCGTTGTGTTGGCACTTTAGAGATAGATGGTAGCATTTTTCAGTAGATTAGAACATGGCCTTCAAATAATATGAACAGATTTCTCTAAATCTTACTTGATGAAGAGTTATACTTACTTGAAATTGTTGAGGTCACTCGTTTGTGCAGCGCTAGAGCAACAACTTGCTGGGTTATAGGTACTAAAGTACCTATACTATCTCAAATATACAAAGGCAGCAACTTTTTTTGTCAGCAAGTTTATCATATATTGCTGATTAGTAAAGAAAAAGTGAAGCTTCTTTCTCACATGGTCTTCTTGCTGCCAATCATTCCAGTTATGATGGAATGCCACACCTTTCAATCTACATGCATGGGAGGGGCTGGAGCTGCTTGCATGTTGTGCTGCAGTGCTGCTACTTCTGCAGGTATTTAAGAGCAAGTGCAACTGCAGGAAGCTAGTGTTGAGCAGACTCTCTTCATGCTGATAATCAAACAGCTATTGCAGTGCGGGCATGCACCATAGCAGCTATAGGGGCGAGGCCATGCACCGTAGGTGTCTCGTGATGCAAGAATTCCACATATTTCCGTTGGAGGGTCAAAAGTGCAAGTTATTCAGTTATTGTTATTATTCATTTTGAGTATAGTTCAATGCAAGTTCAAAATAGATAAAAGCATTTGTTCAATTCTCTGTTCATTGTCCAGTATTGTTGCTTTATTTGCGCTGATTAGATCATCATGTGCTATAAATCAAGATTAAAAATACATTATCAGTCGTTATAAAAAGAAAATAATTACATGTAGCTACATTTAAAGACAGTCACAAAAATTATATTGTCATTCTCCAATACACATAGAATCTAGTGTTAAACTTAGCACATAGATTGATTCTAGATCTATACTTTGTAGCTCGTCAGTCAAAGATTTAGTAAAAATTGTTCAAATTAATAATATTTAGATCTATCATCTAAAATTTTGATTATTCTCCTATAGTTCACATACTGTGGGCATAAATTTCGTCAAACTGTAGTATTTTACCTATGATGTCACATGAACAGGAGTTGCACATTGCTGCTCAAATTTAATATTTATGCTCAAACCATAGATATTATAGACCCATCCCAAGGCTAATTAATTATCACAATCACTAATTGTAGATAGCAAAGGGATGGGGCAAGACTAGCTTTCAAACTGATAAAAAAAACAAAAGAAAGCATCAAGAGAAGCTGTAAGTAGGAATCAATAAGCTCATCCAGATTCATTGTATGATGTCTAAGACATTGACAAGGCTGCATCTACCATACCACATCACTGGATCTACATGCTAGAATCACTCTTAGTAGCTGGTACCAATTGTTTTCTTTGTTTTGCAACAGTTAAGAATTTGAACTTCCAATTAGCAGGCTTTGGGCAGTGGCGGATCTAGGGGGGCCAGGGGGGCAATACCCCACAAAATTTTCTGGAGTAATGTCAAACTTAGTTTTACCTATATAAACTGTGAAGCAGCTGCAGTATACTGGACTATGTCTAGATCCAAACAATCTTTAAACCACAAAGGAGCTCATTTTAGTAGGCTTAGTAACCCCATTAGGGCCATTATTTACTCTTGGTCTTTATATTTTGACTTTCCTCATTGTTCTGCACATTGCAGTCATGCACATAATTATTTGCAGAGTTGTGCCACACCCCCAATTACCCCACCCATTTTCATAATTCCCCCCAAATTAAATTTTAAATTCCGGCTTTGGCGATGATACGGTATGTTCCGCGTATGATAATAATCACAAACAAACCAAACTAGTACCATAGACATAGCCGTCGCCCAGAAATGGATTCAGATTCTTACTTGTCTTTCTTGGAGAAAGCTCCTTCGCTAGATGAACTAACGGAGCATATTAACGTTGGTACTAGTTGGTACATTTTAGGTATAATGTTAAAACTAGATCAGAAGAAATTAGAAAGCATTGAAAAGAATCCTCAGAATGATGATGTCAAGGCTACCAAAATGTTTGGTTTATGGCTGTCTGGTAGCTCTGCTGAACCAAACAGAAGAAGTATTCTGGAAGCTCTGAGAAAAAGGGTCGTGGGAGAAGCCAGAATTGCTGATGAGTATGAGAAAAATTTAAAACAGATGTATGCTGAATGCCACACATTCCGCCCAAGCTCTTCAGAGCAGTCTACCATAATGACCAAAAAGGGTAAAATTATCTTGATGATAATCATAGATCTTATGCATTACAGATTCACCTGCTGAGCCTAAGGATTTTGGGAAACATGAAAAGATAAAACCAGACCTTAACTCTCAACCAGGTGAATTTAAATCTAGCAAGGCTGCATGGCATCTTTAAATTGGTTAATGTTATTCTTGATTTAGAAATGATTAATAAAGAAGCAGCAGAAATTGCAAAATTGAAGGCCATCATCAAGGAAAAGGAGAAACAATTAACAGGTGCCATAATAGAAACTCTTGATGTCATGCAATGTTTATGCAAGCATTTCTATAGTCTCACCCCACCCCTGTGCTACCTGTGGATAGCGAAAGGGCAGGGCGAGACTAGCATTTCTACTATTTCCTTTTGGTATATATCACTGAGAGGTGTACTAGCATATACAGTGAAACCTGCTATTGTGGACAGTCTAAAATAAGGACACCTCTAAAATCAGGACAGGTAGTATCAGTCCCAATACAATATAAATGTGCATTAATGAACCTCTGAAATAAGGACACCTCTATATAATAAGGACAGTTTTATTTGGTCCCAAGGTGTCCGGAATAGACAGGTTTGACTGTATGTAGGATTGAGGTTGGTTTTTAAGATGGCGGCCGTTTTTATGATTTTCAAATACTTATATAATACAGCCTAGTAGTAATTATGCACGCTGTGCATAATTATTATTTTGTCTGATACATATACCGTGCATAATTATTTTGCCTAATAGATGCCAAAAAGGAGATAGAAATTTTGAGAAAACAAGCCCAAGAAAGAATGTCACCACTAGGACATAATTCATCATCAGAGTCATCCTTAAGTATAGTCTGTAAATATATATACTTATAATTTTATTAATCTATGTTTAGGTTCACAAAATTCTGATCAAGAAGGTAAGCATGCACAAAGCTACTGAGTTGCTATGCTGCCTATAATTATCAGATTTGCCATGCATGTAACTCAATACATATTTGCTTATGCATACCAACCACACTTATAGCTTGACAATTATAATGTGAATATGACTGAGGAGTATGCCTATTTCATGCAATATGTTGTGTTGCTTTTAATGTATTCTGAGCTGCAATAAGCAGCAGATGAGTTCTATTTATTAATAGGACTAGAGGAAACTGGAGAGTTGTTAGACCTACAGCGGCAGACTTGGCTAACATCACCAACTTTTGAAGAGTGCGAAAAAGCAGTCTCAAATTTGAATGAACATTGTAAAAGTATTGTGTTAAGACTATCATCTCCTGAAATTGTTTGCCTCCTTTTGCAACCAATATTAAGAAAAGAATCAATCAAGGAGTTTCACATTATTTCTACTCCATTAAAATGTGATACCATTAAACAGTTTTCTCTACTATCAAGTCACAATTCGCTCCAATGGCTGCGTTTAACTTCTAATTCAGTTGGTGATCTGGAAGTTGTAGAACTTGTACAGTTGATTAAACACGATACAACATTGACACACTTATCACTGTCTGAAAACCCTGACATTACCTCAGCTAGTGCTCCATCAGTTTCTGACCTCATTGTCACAAACCGTACTCTCATATACCTTTCACTTCGAAGTACTAATATATGTCATGAAGGAATAGCTACACTGATGGATGCACTTAAATATAACAAAACACTGAAGGAACTTAAAGTGGACCAAAAACACAAAAGTACTTGTTCTTCAATGTCTTTTTATCGGAGGTTGTCTTTTTGTCCATTTTAGTCATATTTATTAAGATCTAACACATTTGTTACTGCCTAATATACATAGTTTTAGTCCTGAAAAATACTATCTACGCAATGGAGTAGGGAACAAAAGTTATGTGGCAAATATTACAACTGCATGCCAGTTTAAAATGCAGTTTTACACAGAACATTTTCACAAATAATAGTTGTGTCATGCTTTATTTTGCTCACCTTTGCAAGCTCTAATAATCATAATTATATCAAAATATTGGTTTTCATGTGCTAAATAATAACAGTGAAACACTGCTGTAGATGTATGTAATTAGAAAACTATAGGGTATTATAGTATGACCAAGCAAATTGTGCTTCAATTGCCTGTTTAGGTACTGCCCCAAATTCCATCCTATATGCTTTGAAATGAATCCAATTATGTGCATTATTATGCAGATGCATGTACGTGTAAACTTGATACTTGATATTTGAGTAGGGCTTAAAATATTATTTCAAGCCCTACTCAAATATCAACTATGATGTTACACATAGATGCATCTGTTACAATTGTGCAATAACAACTATTATGGGGTGTCTGGGTGTAGTTGACTAAACTGTTCATCTGACTGATTTCTATCAAGTTGTGTGGTCTGTTGTATACCGTGATCGTTATCAATCTGGGTACAAACTGTCCTTTTGATATCATTATTGGAGCAGGGAATCAGTATTACAATTGCAATATTTTAATAATGCCAGAATCTAAAAATGTTTTAAGTGAGTTTGAGCTTGTTTGAGCCACTGCAAAATGTAAATAGAACAGCAGTCTAAGTCATTGGACATGCCACGCTTGAATAGATGGTTGGGTTTGTACCACATGCCATATTATTATAACATTATATTATTATTATTTTGTTATTATTAATTTTGTGTATGGTTCAATGTGAGTTCAAAGATAAAAGCATTTGTTGAATTCTCTGATCATTGTCCAGTATAGTTGCTTTACTTGCACTGATTAGATCATACTACAAATCAAGATTAAAAATACATTATCAATTATTTTTTTAAATGAATTTTTTATGAAACAACTACATTTAAAGACAGGTCACAAAAATTATATTGTTCATTCTCCAATACACATAGTGTTAAATTTAGCACATAGATTCTATATTTATACTTCGTAGCTTCAAATGTTCATCAAATTTAGATCTATCATCTAAATAATTCATCATTCTCTTGTGGTTTACATATTGTGGGTATAAATTTCGTCAAAACAATAGTATCTTTGATCAAAAAAAAACACCATTGACAAAGCTTTTAGACTTTTTACAGACAAAAATTTGGGGCTACATTTATACAGTAGTGTAACAGGAAGTGCTTTGGAAAAGTTATAAAAACACTGCTACTATGAATGAATTTAACTAATGATAAGTGTTGCCTGGAATGCAAAGCATACCTGTTCATCTATCTTTGCACTTAATTCTGCTAGCTGCTCCTTCAAGGGAGTTAGCTCATCTTCTGTAATTCTATAACATCAAGATAAGCATGCTACACATACTTGTCATTTACTAAAAAATACTTTTCTTCTCTTCTTAAGGTTTCAGCATATTGAGAGTTTTCCTTCTTCCACATTTCCAACTCTTGCTCCATACTATCAAGATCTTCCTGTGAAATCAAATAATTATTTTAATTACAACAATTCTCAAGTTCTTACCTGTACATAATCCATAATCTTTCCTAGGGGATTAGCTGTCTGAGATAAACTCTGTATTGAGCTTTGAAGTTTTGAGACCTCCTTCTCTATCAGTTCCCTCTCCCTCTTCCTCTGTGCTTCAGTGATAGTAACACTTCTTGGGCCTCCACCTTTCCCTTCATCTCCTCCAAATCTCTCCTTGGCAGCCATCAGAGTCTTAGTAAGAGCACCTTCTGGCTTGGACTGGGACTCAGACAAAGTTTCAGATGAAGGACCAAGAGGGATTTGATCTTGAACAATAAACTCTTCCTCCTCCTCCTCCTCTTCTTCTTCGGATTTTCCTTTTTGATCAAGAATAAGAGTAGGTACTTTTCTGTCTTGCCCAGAGTTATTCCTGAGTTGGAGACATAAAAGAACAATAATTAATTTAGACAAAAGTTATTATATCATACCTAGAACTAGGTTCATCACTATCCATTACTTTCTTAATGACTCTTGGAGCTGGAGGGCGTGAGCTACTGGGACGTGTGGGCATTGGTCTATGTAATATAAAACCATTACTAATACACATAAATATGTAATGGCAATGTACATGTACACAGCAAGCAAATATTGGGAAAACTATCAAAAGAATTCTTTAAATACCCTTAGTATGCAAAACATTTTAGGAAACCTGTGACAAATTTTGTATTGTGGGCATTCAAGAATATTCAGAATTTTTTCTATTATAAAAGGCATGGTAGAATTTTTAGTGCATCAACGCCTTATGCTATTTTCTGATTAAATATTTTTGGGCTTTTGATTGCATGCATAATTGTCAGAAGCCACCTCATGATTTTTGTGCAAAAATGGCTGGGAAAATTTTAACACCTTTCTAAATTTTAATGCTTTGAAGTCAATTCTGATCACAAAATCTTTAAACATTACTTACACTAATCCATTTTGAGTTACATTAGAAGGAGACGACGAGTTCTGAGGCTCATTGCTCGTGTCATCACTAGTTTCAGTCTGACTAGGAGGAGGCTCTCTCTCGTGAGACTTTCTCTGTCCTTTTGCTGTTGATGGTCTGTCATTGACTTGAACTTGACTTCCAGAGCCTTCAGAAGACAATGCCTCCCCATCCTTTTCTCCTCCTCCTCCTCCTCCTCCTTCTTTATTGCTTGCTGCAGCTTGTGAATCTCTTGACTTTCTCCTAGTGCCAGGCTAAGAAAAGATTATACCTGTCACTATTGATATAAAGAGAGGTAGTCATTACCCTATGCTGAGGTCTTTCTTGGTGAGGTACAGGATCAGGATGAGGCTCTGTTACAGTGTTTGTCTGTATAAAAAGAAATATTAGAATATAGACTAGACTTGAAGTAATACATGTACAGACAAAAAATAATTAAATCTTGTCATCATACTGCACCTCAATTTCATTTTCTTTATCATCCTCAGTTGCTGGTGTTGGTTGTGGTGCCTTGTCTTGTTGTGTTGTGTCACTTGCTTTCTTCTTTTCTGCTTTTTTCTTCGCCTCTGTATCTTCTCTGTGTTATGCTCAAAATAAAGTGCAGGGTATCACAGTCTTTAACTAACCTCGCTGCTTTTTTGTCTGATGATGGACTTGACTTTTCTCCACTCAATACTTTTTGAACAGCATCAGTAGAATCAAGCTACATGTACATGCAAAGTTAACAATAAAAAGTACCTTTACACTCAGTGAAGCATTTTTAATGATCCAAATTATAAAAAAGCAAAAGCAAAAATTGGTTCCAAAATTAGCAAGCCTCCATGCATCAACATGCGTAAGGTGTGGTCAAAAGTGGACCCACCCTCGTCTAAAAATAGTATATCCGCTAGCTCTGGTAAGCAGAAAGAAAATCTCATTAAAGCGGGGGCGCTTCACACTCCTACTCCTTCTTTACCCACATTATGGACTCCTGATGCTGTGTAGAAAGCTATAAGAGCTGTTTCCAACAAATAATTTTCAAGTTATGACCATTTTAAAAACGAGCCAATTATTTTTAGAAAAAAAGCATGCTTGTTAGCTTGAGCTGATTTCAAGAAGGTGAGCACTATGCCAAAATCCTGTAGGAAATCCTGACTTTATACATGCAATGTACATGAAATTTTTTTTATGAATTTACGCATGTAGATATAGTCTCACATAGCCAGACTCTCCACCCCTTTTTGACATTTGGACATGGGTAATGAGTCTGGCTACACGAGACTAATGTACATGTATGTGCCTAAAAACACTATTCTTACTCTACATAACTACCGTATAGTAGGAAATTTTGGAGAGACTAAAATTTGGTGAATTGCTAAATTTTGGTAATTGGCGAATTTTAATTTAACAAATTTGTGGCCACGTACATGTACCATTGAGCATGCGTATAATGGCTCAAAATGGTAGATTTTTATTTTGACAAATGACTATCAAAACATAAAATTCGCCAAATTAATTTCCCTCCAAAATTTCCCTCTATATGGTATGTTATAACATACATGTACATGTACATGTAAATTTACATGTATATAGTGCACAATATATAATACATGCAATTTTTATTGAATGTACCTTCTTTATAATAGCTGTTGCTATCATTTGTAATAATTCATTAGTTCTTTCAGCTTCTGCTCCAGCTATCATCTTTGATGGACGAGCTTTTGGAACTTTACCAGTAACAAAGCCTACAAGCAAATTAAGAATCATAATTTATTATAACTAGGAGTATACTTACTGACTACGTCAATTGCTTTTTGAAAGAAGTTTATTTTGTCATCACGACTCTAACAATTAAAAATAAAAAATGATTAGGCAATGGATGTACAGTATGTACATACCCAGTCTCCTTTGCCATCTAATTCTTTCCCAGAGTATAGTCCTTTAAAAAATCCACTTGTTCTAGATATCTACAAAGTGCTAGACTTTATTTTCAATATTAGGATAAGAGACAAACCTCCATTATCATGTCATGAAGATACCTAAAGGGTGGTTTTGACAAGTGTTTTTCAGTAAGTGGCGGTTTCTTTATTATTTTCCCTAAAGTGTCCTGAGTCTTTTTGATAATCTTTGGATCTATTGTCGGCGCTGCCATTTCCTAATATCCACAGGAGGAGAGATTACTGAGAGGGAGAAGGAGCCCAAGTTTATCTGATGGGACAGTTGCTATGGTGATAATAACCACACCCACAAAAGATGGCGGCTAAACCAGTGAATATTATAACACCAAGTGATGATTTACCTCCTCAGAAACTAAAAGAGCTGGTATTGACGGAGCTGAAAGTCCCGACTGTATTTAAAGGATTTATTGGAGAGAAATGGGCCGAGGCATTGACGTGGAGCCCACAGGTTATGTCAGAGAAATTGAGTGATGTCTGTACAAGATTCAAAGTGTGTCCAAAAGTTGGTACATTGCAACACAGAGAGATACTATCCACTACTGACGTTGTATATGAAACTCACTGTGAGTATGTTGATGCTTGCTTTTTGGATTTCAATAAATGGCTACAAACAGAAATTGAAGACGATGAAACCGTATGTCCTCCGCCACAAAAGATCATTAAATGTGCTGATAAAAATCCTTTCTCATCAGTACCGCGCTCTATTTACTGGGTCTATGCAGATTATAAGTACATGAATGAATTATGTTCAGATCATTTGGATATTATTGATGCTGTGGACTGGAGTGTGTTTGGATTTGACACTAGAAATGGATTATCTTCTACACTTTGGATTGGAAGTGAAGGAGCCTCAACCCCTTGTCATTATGATACTTATGGATGCAATTTAGTAGCACAGCTATGGGGCACTAAAGAATGGATATTGTTCTCTCCCGATGACGATCATAAATTATATCCAACTCGTGTTCCTTTTGAAGAATCAAGTGTGTTCAGTCATGTTAACATTAAATCACCTCAAATCAATAAGTATTGTGATTTTCTCAAGGCAACACCATATAAGGTAAGGTATTACACATTAATAATAATTCCTATTTTATTTCTTGATATAGGTAGTCCTTTCTCCTGGTGATGTTCTGTTTGTACCTCATCATTGGTGGCATTATGTTGAATGTCTAGAGCCTTCTCTATCAGTCAACACATGGATAGAGCTTGTATGAACAAGAAAGCAAGAAATGTCCCTAGTTATTGTCAATTATCTTATAGGCTAGTGATAAAGAAGACAGGATCACAGAAGCTATAGCAAGACTACTGGTTAGTACATATAGTAATGTCTCTTAATTACAATCAAATTTAGGTGTCTAATGTTGTCACTACAGACAATAAAGATTCATTAGTCAATCCAAATGAGGTATTTTTTGTAAATGATTTATTTAATTTATACTCCCTAAAATCACTTTGTCACTTGCAGGTACTTTTTCCACTGGAAGATAATTTGACTTTATTGAACACAATACTAACAGATGGCGATGATGAACAGATTATTACAATATCAGATTTTATCAATATACTAACTAGTAAAGAAGTCTTGAGTGTAATAAAGGATAAAGTCAATGCTTTTCATGTTTCTTAAATACTATAGGCTTAAACACTAGATATTCATGTAATTATATAATAAGTGGCATTAGTAGCAATGTGATCAAGTAACTGATTGCATGTCAATAAGAGACAAACAAGAGACTTCCTACACAAAACAATATGTGCTACATGCAAATGTTATTAGCTAAGTGTAGTTGCATGAATAGGTGTGGTAACAATTAACTGATTTAATTTAGTATTAATTTGTATCACTTTCAGTATTGAATTGCTACAGATTTTATTTATTTACTACAAATTATGTGGTTAAATGTGAGTATTACTAAAGATATAATGATAACAGTAAACTTAATAAACAAAAAGTTTGTTGGTTCTATAATCACAAACATACAAGAATCCATCTTCATCAAGCTTTAATCCTTTTAAATAAACTTTACTGCCATGACAGTCCAAACGACTAATGAACCCACCCTCACTAGTGAAGACTGAAATACAATGATTGCCCAATTCACTAACATACACTAGACTAGTAGGTTTAGCTGCAGTGTCTATTGTTATACCTATTGGACTTTTAAGCTGTCCAGAACCATATCTTTTATTTCCAAACTGACCTACAAATTTTTTATCTGGAGAGAACTTTTGTATGCGATCATTATCGCAATCAGCAACATATACTAATCCCTGACTGTCAATGGCAATGTCACGTGGAGATTTAAACTGTCCATTAGCTGATCCTTTACTGCCAAATGAATGAGAGAATGTTAGATCAGGATTCAAGACTTGTATACGATGATTATTTTCATCAGCAACATAAATTTGTCCTGTTACTGGAGAAATAGCAATACCATCAGGACACTTAAATTGCAGTGGTCCACTGCCTTCCTCACCAACAGACATTTGATCAAATCCATTCATACTTATTTTTTGAATCCTATGATTATCAGATACAAGAATACATTTGTCTGGAGTAATGGCTAAACCACAAGGAGAAGAAAACTTGACATTACCACTTCCTCCTTTCCCTCCTAATGATTTCACTTTCTTTCCTTCTCTATCCAGTATTGTTACACAGTCATCAGCACACTCAGTTATTATAACATGATCATCACATACAGCAACTCCCCAGGGACCTTTAAGTTCAGTTATAACCTGTACTGGTCCTGGCGTAATGTTATCCTGGTATGGATTGATAGGAATGACTAATGAGGTATCCTCAAGGTGTACATCACCTACTTGTACTTTACTGTATGAGTACCACTGGTTGAAAGGTTACACTGTATTTTATACACTCCAGGATCAGTGCTGGTGGTAGTGACAGTAGTGTGAATGGGTTTACCTTTCCCATCTGGAACTAAACTACACCTGAAAGAAGAGACAGGGTGATACAAACGAGATGAATCTGGTGCCTCCATTGATAGTGAAAATGAAATTTTTTTCATTTTTGGTAGGCGTTCAAAGCAACTGATTTTTTTTAGTCTGCATTGTTGTAATGTAGTAGATGAATAGGTCACAATATCTCCAATGTGATGTAGTGGTTTGATATCTTTGCTTAGTTCAAAGTCAGCTTTCTCCTTTGGATGTAACTCCTCTACATTGATCAGTACAGTAATGTCGCTTATACACTCCATCATCTGTTTCTTAGATCTTAGGACTTGTTGAGGACTGCCTGTCTTCAGTTTCTGTTCCACATCATTTTTAACTTTGTCCAGAAGACTCAAATTCAATTTTGCTGATTCTATTTGCTCTGACAGCACTTTTAACTTTGCATCAACGACCCTTTTTGCTTGCTCAGTCAGTTTCCTCTCTGACTGACGAAGAACATTCATCATTTCTTCAACCATATCATGTATTTCTTCTAAGATTCCTTCCCCTTTCCGTCTGATTTCATCCTCTCTCTCTGCTAGAGCAGATTGGACCTTTTTGAGCACTTCCTTCTTTCCCTCAATTGATAGGAGACATTCTTTTACCTTTTCACAGTGCTTAGTAAAATTTTCTTTATTTATTAATTCACGCTCATGATTTTCAGGATGTTGAATTGAACAGTGGTAACAGATAACTGTATCACATGTATTACAAAAGATGTCCAATGGCATTCTATGATCACTACATGTAGGAATTGGGGGCTTTTTTATTAAACTCTCCAGGTTGTTTGCAAGAATTGCTACTGGAAAGGGTCTTTCCTCCGTAAGACGACGACAAATGGGACAATAGAAGTAATAGGCCTCATTTATCTTATTCAAAGGCATTCCTTCCAGACACGTCTGACAGAAAACATGTTGACAAGGTAAAGCCTTAGGGTCAGTATATACTTCATGACACACAGGACAGGTAACCAGCTCCTCAATCTTTTCTTTTGGGACAAGACCATGAGATGATGGGTTGGCTGCCATTTTGGTGTCAACAAAATAAAGAAGTTGAATGAAGGTAAGAAACGCAAAAGAAAAGGATGATATAGAAGAAGTAGATCTGACTGACTGCATGAGTGGGAAGAGAAGGAAATTATTATAGTGAACAAGAATAATTAAATACATGCCAGCTCACTATGGCTACCAGTAGTAGTAGTACAGTCAGCAAAAGAACAAATGTACTCTTGAGTTATTTGAAGTCAGGTTAATACAAGCAATTACAACACTATACTCATTGTAAATCAATTACTGCTAAAGGATATAGTGCTATCACTAGTGACTGCAAATGTGGTACTTTTCCACTTGTTTCAACTCAATACTATTTACAGGTTATTAAAACATCAGATTATATCAATATCCTAGCTAGTAAAGAAGTGCTGAGGTAAAATGCCATACCCATAGATATTATATTACATAAAATATATTGTCTAGTATTATTATCATCTAATTATCTATGTCACACCACAATTTATAATTAAACCACAATCTACTTTAATAAACAATTACATAATTGTTTTAAAAAATTAATGACTAAGCAATGCACACCATACTACACCATATCTAATATCACTAATATTTATGCAACACACACAAACACACAAAAATTGTCTAAATTGACTCAAGCAGTGGTTCACGAAGCTGAGGCACATCAACAGAACTTTCCATTGAAGTGCGAGAATCCCTTGAGCTATTAATGGCGGTGTAATATTGGAAAGATTTTTATTCTTCTTGTGCTTGATCTTGTCACATTGTGTTTGATCAGCTCATATATCTCAAGAACTATAAATACTACCACTACTATATATAGCGACCTTGTTACCAGTAGGTAAAGGACAAGGTATATGCAAGAGAAGCTAAATTGTCATACTGTAAAAATTTTTTGTACACTATGACAAGACAAAAAATATTTCCACTTGGAATTTTTTTGAAACAAAAAATTTTTGTATGAAAAAGGGCAACTGATCACTAAAATATCAAAATCAACTACATAATGAACTAAAGCCTATTGCTACAATAGCTTAACAACTATGAAATCTAATAATGTCTGTTCTTGATTAAAATGTTCATTATCCTATTAAAGGAAGAGGAATTTGATGGGAATGATCTTATTAAACTTACAGTGTTCAATTCAATAATTAAGGCAGCGAACACTAACATCTTCATAGTGACGACAGTTGTGTTCACCAATAGGAGTACTGCGACAATGAGTGATTTGTGCTTCTCTACCAGTACACTGTACATCATCCATCAATATTGGAAGAGTACCCTGTCCATAGCGAGCACGAGGATAGACACAACTAGCTCTCCTGTATCCTAGTTGACGACAGACGACATGTGCATCATTTATATCAAAATAATCATCACAGACGGTCCCCCAACGACCTTCAGCATACACTTCCAAGCGGCCAACAGCACATCTGCTAGTAATTCTACCACCAACAAGACGAACATTTTCTATAAACATAAAGGACTAACAATGATATTATTTTACTTGATATACTTACTCTGGCATGTTACACTAGCATCTTCATAATGACCACAGTTATGAGTACCAATAGTCCTCATAGGACATGCAAAAGGACTGTACTCATTACCAGCACAACGTAGATCATCCATTACTATTGGACCACTTCCCTGCCCAAATCGAGCTCTATGGTATGTTGCAGCAACATCAGGAAAACCCAAATATTTGCAAATGACACGACCATCATTGTGACCAAAATAATCATCACAGACAGTTCCCCACCGTTCATCCCAGTACACTTCAACTCTTCCTTCATATGATCCTCTTCCTCCAACTAATCGAAGTGCTCTTTCTAAATTGATAACACTTACATTAGTTTAGCATTTTTTCATACAAATTACCTGGGCAGTATCGAATATTGACATGATGTATATCATACATTGACATCCTGTCTCTCTGGCCAATGGTGACGCTTGCATCAGGTATTGGTACAATTGTACACCGACGATTTTTACTGAAAGCATATCTACCATAATGCATCAATGAAAGATAATCATATGGTAGAGATTGACTGTCAGAATTAGTATGTCGGTTAAAATTTCTTGCATATCCGCTTCCTATATCAGTAATAGTTCATTGGAATAATATTTAAATTAGTAAATGTACTTATATTCCTAGTTATTATTCTGACATATCTGTCTCTGTCAGCTCGTGATTGTTCATGATATCTCCCAAGTGCATGCATTATCTCATGAGCAGGGACTGCACGACTGCAACCACTAGATAATGAGATTCGCTGAGGTCTAGCATTACGTAATTTACCAATATAGGACCAGCAACTGGAATCATAATTGAAAATTTTAAAACTATAGTTTAAACAGAGCTTACCCTCCACTACTGACAAATTGGATGTAATCATAATTATAGCTTCGCTTTGGAGTAAATCTCAAACAAGTGTGTTGATGGAACATTCGAATTGAATTGGTTAAGGCATTTCTTTCACTTGTAGCTACATAAAATCAAATTTCATTATGTATAACACTTATACAAATGTTACTAACCAACTCCACTAATTGTGTATGGAATAGTCCTTGACCATTTGCCGTGACCACGAAGCCATGCTTCTGAATTGACTAATCCATCCCACCCATCACGCTTGAAAAGTGCAGCCTGCTCTGGAGTCATTTTGATATCTCCCTCTACAATATCTTTGCCACTACTATACTCTCCACCTAAAATAATGGCATAATTATTGGTTGGTACCGCCCAGTCACATGTTCTCGCGGCTCTCAAAGGACTTGAGGATGCTTCTCTTGGCTGTCTGTGCTCTGCTCTCTAAGTTCATATCTACTGCTGCTCTCTGCTTTTAGAAGGCCGTTTAGTTTAGGAGGCTCTTCGCTCAATTCGCCGTCGAGCTACTGTCCTCAGTGCTGCTTGACCATGGGCGCTGGTATAAACTGGGTGGGTTTGCGCATGCACAACGAAGGAGCAGCGAACTACCTACGCAACAGTAGAGTACAGGGTAGCTACTTAGCTTTTTTTTTTTCGCACTGTGTACTGTAGCTAACATACTTAAATTAGCTGGTACTTGTGTAACTTCTTCTGTTACTGCAAAAGATTATTAAAATGAATACTATTGTGCATTTCAGACTGTTTTGACTCACATTCGGCTACCAGCTCCGTCTTGAAGTTATCCTTTTCATCATCTTCATTTTTGTTACCGCTGTTCTTGTAATCTTCATCTTTGTTACTGTTTTTGTCATCTTCATCTTTATCTTCATGGTCCGCTTCTTGGTTATCTGTGTTCTTGTCATGATTATCATCAAAATCTAGTTCATCCTTCTTGTCATCATCTAGGTCATCTTTCTTGTCATCATCTAGGTCATCCTTCTTCTCTTCATCTTCACCAAGATCTAAATTGCTTTCTTCATTGTCTTCTGGCTTGCCGAGTTCTAGATTGCTTTCTTCCTTGTCTTCTGGCTTGCCGAGTTCTAGATTGCTTTCTTCCTTGTCTTCTGGCTTGACTGCTGGTGGATGATCTATATCACACAAAAAGATTAATTCATTTTTATATGACCTCTTCATAACTTACCATCATTTTTGTCTGGCCCAGGGCCACTCCAGCTGCGTTTAGAAGCTAAAGAACATGGATGATATCTGAGCTTTAGTGCATTAAAACTTTACTTGGGCTACAGTTAGCAGTTGCAAGCAAAAGAACAAGCAGAGCTAGCCTAATCATGATTGCACAGTACACGCAAGTAGTGAATCATAGACTGAATCTACTGCTTTATATAGTAACAGCATAGATATTAGAGTAAATACTCTAATATCTATGGTAACAGATGCAATAACATCCTGTCTAAGTTATATATAGAATAATTAACTGTATAGATCTATTTGCAAGTCTGCAGATCTCTACAAATTATAAAGCTAAGTTTCAAAATATTGCTGGCTTTTTCACTTACTGAAGATCTTTATATTAAATTGTAGCACAGCTGTTTACAGACCTTGCAAACTGCACTGGCAGTTACAAAGGTGGGCTGTTTGTTTAATGTGGCCACCTCAATTTAGACATGCAGTCTCCTTTGAAGCTCATAGATTGGTTTATGAATTGGCTTGCAAGGTCTGTGCAATTTGCTGTATGCCTTGCTGAGGACATTAATTTGCCTTATGAATAAGAAAGCAATTTTTCTTGATATATGAAAATTCAAATCTCTTGTACTGATGTAACCTTTTCTATTAGTGTAATAATGCCTGTAGCCGGCTACCTTTCTTTTGCCTATTTGTAATATTACATGGGAAGCTAATCATTTAATTTGGTAATCTGCATGATCTTGAAATTGATCAGAACCAGGCTAACATATAGTGTAAAACATTAAGAGGCTGCATGTGTTTATGCCAACTATAGCTCAACAGATGTGTGTGTGGTCTCTGCAATACATGTTATTATTAATGTGTGTATATGCATAGGTAATTGTTTATAGTACATAGTAAACCATATGCTGCATGGTTGTGATATGACAGTAATTATGGTTAATCATCATAGTTTCCACCTATTATTCATTCATTTAGTAATAATATCTTACTAAGTCACGTAAGATATCATTATAGTAATAAATAATGAGTAGTAAGTGCATGGAACACCATATAGCTTATAACTAGGAAGTAAAAATAGGCTTAATACTGGAGATGTACATAATCTTGAAATTGATGAGAAAATGCTATTTTGGATTTTGGTGCACATGCATCTTAATAAAGTATTATCATCATTGACTTATTGCTTATCTTTCTCATGCACTTGCCAATGTTAGTATATTGGTAATTGTAAGGTGACAATGTTCATGCCAGTGATTCTTTCATGGGAAGTGGTAATACAGAAACCATTACAATATTACCAGATTAGTTGATCAATAGTATCATTAAAAGCTAGTCTGCACAGTATATACACATAGTCCTGCCTTATAGAGTACATAAACAATAGTGCTGTATCTTGTACTGACTGACAGTTGTAATCTTGATGCATACATTTTTTGTGCCGGGAGGATTTGTAGTACAGTAACAACATGGCAAGTAAGAGGAATAGCAAGTAGGAGGATAATTATGACAATCACAGTAGTTACTCTACAATAATTGTCATAATTATATTAGGGTGATAAGGAAACTTAATGGAAATTTATTGAGCACTCTTGTACTGACGGTTGTAACCTTTATGCATACATTTTTGTGGATTTGTAGCAGTAACAATGAGGCAAGTAGGAGGATAATTATGACAATCACAATAGTTACTTGAGAATAATTGTTGTAATTATATTAGGGTGATAAGGAAACTTACTAGAAACTTAATTATCACCCTAGGATAATTATAAAAATTATATTAGCTTCATAGGTGAGTTGGAGGATAATTATGACAATTACAATAGTTACTCCCATCATCTGTCTCCCGAATGTAAAATAATTTAATTATTGTAGACATATTACATACTACACAATAGTCTAGTTGTGAATTATATTACTCATTACAGGTGGTACATGTAGCTGTATTTAAGACTATCATAATAATGTAGTACAACCTATAGTCTTGTTTTTATTGCATTAATTAAGATTTTAGATCTATTTACATAATGTATGTATACACTCTAATTGCTTGACATGCAGGTCTATTTCCCAACTTTATGTTACTCAACCATGACATTTTGTTACTGATTGGCCCACAATAGATAGATCAACTACATTCATGATTACAATAGCTAGCTTAGCTATGCCCATTTTCAATTAATAATACATTGATGTTCAAGATTATACTTTAGAGTAGAACTATATAGGAGCTTTTTGGTAATGCTTAGATTAGATCTGTAGTATCGTCTGTATGTGAAAAAGACTACTTGCATGGTTCATTAACAAACATTTCCTATTATAATAACTTTCTTTTGGCCTAGCCTATATAACCCACACTTTGCATAGGCCACTACTGTTGTATGTGATTCATTTGACAAAATTTGGCTATCATTGCTTTACTATTGCTTAACATGGACTGTGCTATACAGTCAAGTCTTCGTACTTGACTGATTGTGATTATAATTGACAAAAGGTATCATTTGGCAGAGTTACTAAGTTTATCATTATAATGAAAAAGTTCAGTTGCAAAAGTTACATAGGAACTTTTTGCATTCTGTGCAAAAATTTCTTATCATCGGAGCACAGGAAGTTGGATTTTTGCCATTATAAAAATGAATTTTATAATCCAGGCATAAGGTACCTTTTGTCAATTTTAGTCAAAATTTGTGCTGGTCAAAATTGAGGGATCTATTCATATGGGAATATTTAAACCAGGGAAAGCAGGGGCATTGCCCTGGTAAAGTTGACAGGACAGGACCAAAAATTTAATTCTCAAAAAGTTATTATTGTCAAAGGTGGCAATAGCCGCAATACTGTCTGTTACCACCCCCAGTGTTATTATAGGTAATGTTAATTAACTACTAGTTAACTGACATATATTAATGGTTAATTAATTTCAATTAATAATATAGCATAGATAATAGAGTTAATATCTATGTAATATCTATGTATGTATCTAGTAATAGATAATATCTATGTACGTAAAATGGTGTAATAGATATGCCCATGGATCATCTATTAGTAATGCTATAGCGTTACTAAAGTAGAATCATGGATAGTAGAGGAGGAGAAAGTCCATTCTATTATAGTCCATTCTTTTTTTCAAAAATTTGTTAGTTATTAAAAATGCTCGTAAATTCAGAATTTGAGCTCAAAGCTTTCTTGAACATCAATATGCACCAGAAAATGTGATAAAATTGGGTGTGATTTAATAGCCAAAAGGGGCTATTTTTGCAAAAGTTTGCTATTCATTAAAATGATCATAACCCCAGTAACTTTAGTTGAAGTCAGCTCAAAACTTTATTATGGTAGCTAATTTAATTTTACACCATTGATAGTAAGTGCATGGCTCATGACCATGTCCAGTGCTTTACCTCTCAATATACTATCAAGTAAAGCTAAATTAACTTAAGCTACATACATACTCAAGTGCATATACTTTACTGAAGCCATGCTGAAACATTATTTATGAAAAAAGGAGGTCTTTTAATTAACTAACCATACCCATAGATATTATATTACATAAAATATATTGTCTAGTATTATTATCATGTAGTATTATTATCTATGTCACATCACAATTTATAATTAAACCACAATCTACTTCAATAAACAATTACATAATTGTTTTTAAAAATTAATGATTAAGCAATGCACACCATACTACACCATATCTAATATTACTATTGTGTAATAAACACAAACACACAAAAATTGTCTAAATTGACTCAAGCAGTGGTTCACGAAGCTGAGGCACATCAACAGAACTTTCCATTGAAGTGCGAGAATCCCTTGAGCTATTAATGGCAGCAATATTGGAAAGATTTTTATCCTTCTTGTGCTTGATCTTGTCACATTTACTAAAGCAGCACCCCAGCTTGTACAAGGCATAAATGTGATAGGTCATTATGCATAAGAACCCTAACAAACTCAGTGAAAGCATGATGGCAATTCCATTTTTAGCACCTTTTCTTGTAATAGCATGACTTCTAATTTCACTGTCATCACCAATAGTTCCAGCAATTATGTAGAATATTATTAAAAGAAGCATAAAGTAGCAAGCATCAAGCATGTGGATGATTTTTTTCTTGTAAACAGACCCAAAACTCAGTGTGACTAGTAATATGGCGATAACAGCAACAGAGATGCTTATTATATTACTGCTACTTGTTGTAACTATTGCTATGGCTATTATTATCCTTGCAACAAGTAACAGACCAGGCCAGAACCGGAAAATATCAGTATGTGGGCCAGCATAAGCATCAAAGAATGGCTTCAATTTAATAAAGAGTCTAGTACCAATACTCCACTTAGAGCATATTTTCAATTATCTTATAGGCTAGTGATAAAGAAGACAGGATAACAAAAGTGATAGCAAGATAATTGGTTAGTGTGTGTGGTAAAAATCTCTTAATTATAATCAAATGTATTATAGGTTTCTAGTGTTGTCACTACAGACAATAAAGACTCAATGGTCAATCCAAATGAGGTATTGCCTTTTGTAAATGATTAATTTATACTCAGGTACTTTTTCCACTGGAAGATAATTTGCCTTTATTGAACACAATACTAACAGATGGCAATGATGAACAAATTATTACAATATCAAATTTATCAATATACTAACTAGTAAAGAAGTGTTGAATGTAATAAAGGATAAAGTCAATGCTTTTAAAATCTCTTAAATAGTATATTAGGCTTGTCATAATATTTCGTAACACTATGCATGTAATTATAATAATCCTTGACTTTGAGAACAATCAACTAAATGATGTGGATCATGTAGCATCAGCAACAACATGATCAGGCAACTCAAAATCACTGGAATCATCTTTAACCTCTTACATGTCAATAAGTGATTTTATACTGTATTATGTTCATCAGATGCTGTGAAAGATTGAAAACAGATGAAAGCAGTGAGTATTCACTGAATTTTGAGATGAGGTTGGTTGTATGTTCAGTAAGCTTATCAGCTATCACAGAGACATTATTGAATGCTACACAAATTATTGAAAATCTAAGAGTATTTTATAATCAAATAAGGGATACAGCAATTAAGTACTTATGCATTAGGATCACACAATATCATATACTGGTATACAGCACTACTACATTTAACTTATTAAAATCTAAAAATGTTACACCTCATGCAACAATGTAAATAAGTCCA